TCCCGGGAAGCCCATATTAGGTAGATGATCAACATAGCCGTTGGTTGTTACTGCGTCACATCGACACCTCCTTCCACATGCTCCCGAGATCACATTTCACGGCTCACACCGGTCCGGACCCAGTCCTTAATTATGGACCGAGGACCACTTAACCCGGTTCAAAAGACCGGTCCGGACTGCGGTCCTTGTCGGACCGTAACATCCCTAATCAGATGATATAGGAAGTCGTAAATCTGCAATATATGCACTATGTAAAGTGTCTTGCAAGATATTTCCACTATGTAAATCCCGATGAAGGATTTTATGTGAATGAATTATTTGAATATCTGATGCAATACATTGCAGTAAATTTGATTTATCTACCCATTCTATTTCTAATATTTTGTGAAGGTTTTCATGCAAAGATCCTAGTTCAGCAAATCTTAAAATGAGGATATAATTTCCAGCATAGTCTTTTGATATCCCATAGCATTATAAAAATGATGGATTTTCACAATTAATATCACAATACGTCTTTAACTGTAAAATTAAACAAATATATCTCATTAAAATATTAGTATACAAATCATTTAGAAAAGCAAACCATCTAATAAAGGACATATACATTATAATGAATATGATAACACTTTTTTATTTGCTATAATTATTTATATACATTTGATCTAATAAAAGTTTGGTTTAAATTATTATTTAAATTTTAAATTTTGGAATCATTACATCGATTAAGCTATACAATCTATTGATTTGTAATTTACAAACCCGATCTTGGAGTATTTATAGTATAAAAGTTTTTTATATCTTAAGATTTATTTCTGTTATGTATTTATTCTTTTCTTTTGTTTTGTTTATCTATTATATTTTGCCTTTATAATACTTGTTTTTATATTTATTATTGACCTTTTTTCACTTATATAATATTTTAAAAAATAATATGTTGAAATGTATTAAAAATCTGCTTGTGAAAAATACAGTATGCGTATTGCAGCAAATATAGTGATGCATAATATCAAGTATATGATTTTGATGCATATGATTTTAACGTAACAATTTAAAGATAGGCAAGTAGAAACAAAGTGATTAATAATTACATAAAAGAGTTAACTTTCTTTAATCAACTTTTTAATCTTGCTATTTCATTAGTTTAACTACCTTTCACCAGTTTCGCTATTTCACCTTTTTGAATTTTTTTTTTTTTTGGCAAAACTCTATGTTTCACCTAAGAACTATAGTGAGCGGTATAAAATGACAATTGAAAATTTACATTAGATAATACTTTTCTATTACGTCATTATTTAGTGCAAACATTAATTATCTATGTAATATAGCTAATTTATATTAGGATTAGGATAAATATTCCGATAAAAATAATATAATAATTTGAAATTAATGATAATGAATGGGTAAAACCAAACTTCGACTCAACCCTGACCAGAAACATAGAAAATTTATTAATTGTCATATGTGCCGTTTCAGAGCTGAATCCGATAAAACAATTAATAATTAATCTGAAAGTCCGAAGACTGGTTTTCTTTTGACATCACTCAAATATTTTAAATTAAGACTAGTAGTAGCACTACCATCTTAACACTACAACTACTAATCGTTATAACTATTACAAACTACTGTAATAACGAAAAAACATAATCCTACAAAAATGCCCAAATAGTTCCTAAAATTGATAATACAATACACACTAAAATAATCGATAAATTCAGCGACCATTCCACCCATCCTAAATTGCTACTATATAATTTCAAATAGAATATACACGGAAAAGCGGCAGAAAGATTGTAAAATAAAAAACTACCTACTAATTCAATTACCTTTTCAAAATTCGGATACAAGATCGCAAGGAATACAATCACAGTTGATATTAATGTACGTGTCAAGAAACGCATAAGAAAGAAACATCCAGAGCCTGGATCGCACACCCATGAAAGATAATGTGTTTCTAGGTATAAATTTATTGGGTTTAAATAAAGCGGGAATTTTCCGAATGGACTAATTGCTATGAGCCATACTATAAGCAGATTAAGAAGTTTCAAATGCTCTATTGACATGATGTTTTGCGTTATCTGCAGTATATTTATTAGTTACATTATTATTTATGATGAAATAATTTATAAATTTAGAACATTAAAATTTTAAATGAATAATTTTAACATACTTCTGGCATTGTCTGATTTCCAAACATTAAGTAACCACACACAGCTATTAGAATATAGACAACAGTACTAACGGTGTACGACACTTTTACCACTGTCTGATATTTATTAGGTTCTTTCATATTTAGATATATTGAAGGAAATGTAACATGTCCTGAAAAAATAACTCTGCAATTAATAAATGATTGCATTATAACTAAAAAACGTTCAACAATAATAACCTGAAAATCCCGCCATCATTAATCCAAAGCTCAAAGGTAAAGATGCCCATTTGATAGGCAATAATTCAGTTTCCACAGGATTGAGTAAACTTCCAGGTTGTTCAGGTTTTGTAACCCCATCAATTATTATTGCAAACACCAAAACTATTGACGATAATATTCCAAGAAATGAAACATATGAGAGATATTTAATGTCAATTAACGTTAATGGTACTAGCACCATCCAAGAAATAATTTTTAGAGATACAATAGATATGTCAGGATATATCATGTTTAAAGAATCACCAATTAGGTTTACTGAAGCAAGTGCCATTACAACTAGTTCTAATGCGAATAAAGCAAATATAATAAATCTTGCAATTTCTCCGTATGCTATCGCAGCTATTACATGATGTATATTTATTAACATCGAATATTATTAAACGTCGTGACTTAAAGAGAAAAATATATGGAATACCTATGTCAGGATATGTATAAAGTCCTTCTTTATACTTTAAACATATTATTAATAATTTTGCAGTGTAATTTGTAACTACCATGCAGAAAAATAATAATGATAGCCCAATAATCCATCCTGTATATTTAAATGCGAGAGGTAATGAAAGGATTCCGATGCCTAAAACAAGTCGTTACAATATAATGTTAATCAAAGTCATTTACCATGAGTCGTAGATAATTAGTAATAATTCAATATATTACCCATCAAAACATTGCAAAAATGATAGATTGATTGACTAAGGGTAGCTTTAGATTGATCAAGGATATATTCAGACTCATCTTGAATTTCCGAGAAATCTAGAGAGTAATTAAACATTGCAAAAATTTATATGACATAACAAAATTCTACAAAACAAAGCTTTTTTACTATAAATTAAAGAGTTATGATTCGTTAAAATTTCGCAAGCATATAGCATATTTATAATACTAAAATTTTATTCGCCTGTTCATTGGTCAAATATATGAGTGTTGCAAAGGAAAACCAGCCTTCATGTTTTTAAAAATGTATAATCTACCACATCAAGAAATATTAAGTCTGGATATTTAATCATACAACAATCATTACTACAACATCCCTCTTAATTTGCCTCAGCCGTGCTAATTTAGTTTGTAAATATATCATTAGTGCTATCGAAAGAAAACAAGCCTCAGGCTTTTAAATTTAAACAATAGACTCAGCCTTTGAAAATATAATCAGTGAAATATTTATCATTATATAGTCGTTTAATCCTATAGATATCTAATAGAATGGGATCCCCACGCAAAAGTGGGCATTGGGCCATTTTAAATTTCGCTGAGTATATCTCGTAATCTCGTAATTAAAACGATTTTTATATCATTTAATTCTTCTCAATGAGATAAATTAACGATATAAAAAATCATTTAATTCTAATCACTAGATTACAAGATATACTCATTTAAATAGCTAAATTTAAAATGGCCCAATGCCCCCTTTTGCTGTGGGTTCCATATGAGTGCTGCCAAGGGAAAACCAGACTTCAGGCTTTCAATTATATTTTCTGCCAAACTTAAACCCTGAAAAATTGGATCAGTAACGCATAAAGCATGGTACAAAGAACTTTCTAATCATTCGGTGAACCAATCAGAAATGACTAGAAGTTTACGTATCATAAATCACTAATCATACCTTGCAGGGGCTAATTCCAGTCAATAATAAATTCAAAAGCCCGAAGTCTGGTTTTCCCTTGGCAATACTCATTTGTTTAGTCTCATTGATTTTCGTATAATGATAGATTTTTTGATCAATAAAAATTATACCGCAGTCTATATTAAAAGATTAGTAAAAATACTTTTGGATATTTAACGCCTAATAATAATTTTTATTTTTCAATCTTAATATCTTTCACTTTTTACTGCATTTTTAACAAAGTTGCGTTTTTAGATTTTGCATACCATAGTTAGATTTTCAATTACGAACATATTTCAAATTAGTATATATAAATCTAATACATTTTTTTAAATCGTATGTTATACAAATTGATAAGACAATATTATAAAGTATATGTATTTAACGTAACATTGTAAAAGAAGTGTTAAGACTTCCTTTTACCAATTTTGGTGTTAATCAATCGCGCAATTTAGGCTGAATAACCATTTAAATCTTTTAGAAAACATGTTTGTGGTCTCGCTTCGAATATAGCTTACTAAATACTGTTATACATAAAGATTGGCATCATGCATCTTATCATTTAATAGTGACTTAGCAGACTTAGACGACTAAGTTATTCAATTTTTTATTAATATGCACTAGTATAACAACCGGTGTATTAGCATTAGCATAAAAATAATGCCGGTACTTGTTTGGGTTACGGATTTTGAATCAAAGTAACTCTAACAATCATATCGGCATAAGTGCTAAAAAAAATTTGTACATCATATGTAGTGGTTGTATCCAGGTAGGGTCAATTTGTTGGTCAACTGTGAGCACCTGCAAGTAAAGTTGTCAAATGGCTCATGCAATAGTTCATGTGATCTATGCATATTATACTAACCTTTTCTGTGCTACTCATAAATTTTTGCTTAATGTTCTTAGTAGAATGTTCTTTTTTGTGAGTCAAAATTCACAAAACATCTTAATAGTTCTGTACAGCAACCTTTAGAAGTTTTTACTATCATCTAATTATGTTGCAGATTATATATCTTTTTGTTGTTGTTTGTTCTATTGAATGGATTCCATTTGATTAAAAATTATAATTAATAATTTTGGTTCACAGTGTCATGTTTAAAGAGAAATGTTATATAGATAAAATATTTTAAAAGTTTAGAATTTAATAATTCTGATTTGTATTAACTGTAATGTAAATCTGCACAGTAGATTTAAATATCTTTTATTTGTCTATCTCTAATCATTATCTTTATTTATTTTATCTCTTAATCTGTAGAGCAGGCAAATTTGCCTGTGTTGGTTTTTTTAAAATTGATTTTTATAATAAAATTTTAACAATTAATTTTAGCAATATGTTTTTTAAGCAAAAAATATTTTTAAAAATCTACTTTATAAACTTTGTTAAGAAATTTTTTAACTTTATTAAAAATTTTTAATTAATTAAAGTTTAAAGATTGTGTAATATTAGTGTTTAATATTAAAATATTTTTTAGATTTTCTAAAATTTATATGTTTCTGAAGTTAAAAAAATTTTGCTCTTAAGACAAATATTAATTTATATGTATAAATTACTAAACTTATAATAATTAAAATTGTAATCTTTGATATAGACTAAAAAGTTATATTAAATCTATAGATTTAAAATTAATATTTAAAAAGTTTATTATAAATAAACTAAAAAATTTTTTTTAAAAAAACTTTTTTTGAAATTGTATATTTTTGATCTATAAGTAATCTAATTTTTTCTTATAATTTAAAAATAAATTTTGCAAAAGATAATCCTTATTTTCAATATTATTATACCATATTTTATTTAAATATTTTAATATTTCAAAAAAGTAAATCAAAGCCAAATAAATATAAAAAAACAGACATTTGTTTACAAAAGTTTTTTTTTTTTTAATATTAATAATGAGGCCATGTCTTTATCTTTATTGAATATTTAACTGAGATTTTTACATAAAGTTTAAATCTACTTTTAAAATATTATAGCAAGAATAGAA